TTTTTCCCCGGCCCCCCCCCCCCCCCCCGCCCCCCGCTCCATCCATCCTGGCCGGGAAGGCAGTCGCGTCGGCCAACGCCACTTCTCCCTGTGCCGCGGCTCGCGCGGATATGCAACATGTGCCCCGCTCCCGGCGTAGTGAGACATTCATCAAACCGTCATTAGGTCCATCTCGGGAGGGCAGTGCGGACCAAAACCGGCTCGCCGCCGAGATACCCTCCGGCCCCGGCCCCGAGACATCGCCTGTGTGCGTGTGTGTGTGTGTGTGTGAGAGAGAAAGAGAGAGAGGCTGCATGGGCGGGCGTCACGAAGGCCCCAGGCCCACGGGGATGCACGCTCAACAACACGCCCACCATGGGCGCCAGCTCATCTCGACCACCTGGGCGCAGGGGGGAAGGGGGGGGACGCGGGGGAGGGGGGCTCAAAGCGTCCCTCGCCGGGGCCAGCGGACCCAGGGACCGCCAGAACTCACCCCCTCCCCTCCTCCCCCGACCATCCACCCGCACAAGCACACCCATCCACCCACACACCCACACACACAAGGCTCATACACAACACCCCCCCCCCCCCTGCAAGCACCATCTGCCCTGCTCCCTTCCTCTCTGCCCTTCCTCCCCCTCTCCCCCTTTCCGCCCCACATCCCGCCGAACTCTCCCCGCCCCGTCGAGATCTCTAAACAGGCACGCCGTCGTCGCCGCCGGGCCCCCGCTCTGGGCAGGCGCTGCTCCCCTCTCCTCGCCTCCGTTGCCGGGCCTCATCCAAACTGACACCCCTTTGCGCTCCCTCCCCCCCCCCCCTCCTCCCCGTCACCGCAGTGAGAATGGCCGACAGCTGGGAGGCTCGTTACCTGTACCTGGAGCAGCAGGTCTCCCAGCGTGAGAATGAGTTCCGGGAGCGCGAGCTGAAGATCGAGCGCGCTCGCAGCCTCATCGTCCAGCATGTGACCTCGGCCCGTGAGGAGAACGCCCAGCTCCGGCAGTCCCTCGAGGAGGGTGCGCGCCTGGGCCCCTTTCGTCCCTTGGGAACTCGACATTGCCTTCGCTCGCCCTTCCTCCCCCGCCTCCCTCCCCCCCTAATCGCCTAGTGGCTGACTGTCTTGCCTGGGTTGGCTTCTTGCTCGGTCGCACCTGCGGACCCGGCCACCAGCTCAAGCCAAGCTGAAGGAGCTCTCGGCTGCCGCGCCCGCCGGGCCCGCCCCCACCGTCGACCACTCGGCTGGCGGCGACTCCCCCGCGGATCCCCTGTCCTCCAACAACCCCGAGGTCCTGCGCGACGCCCTTCGGTCGGCGCAGGCCGCGCGCATCGCCGACGCCGAGCACTTCGATGCGGCGGCGCGCCGCGTGCGCGCCGCCGTCGAGGCTCGCCTGGAGATGGTGGAGTCACGCGCCCAGGCCGAGGCCACGCGCGCCGAGCAACTCGACGATGAGGTCCGCACCCTGCGCCTGCAAGTGGCCAATCTCATGTCCCAGAAGAATGTGGCCCCGATGGCGGGGCCCACCGAAACCAGCCCCTCTCTGCCGGCCTCGGATGGGGCCAAGTCCGGGGCCGGCGATTCGGCCTCCGAGGCTGACCCCGCCAAGGCGCCGCCCGGCCGGCCCGGGGTTGGGCCCTTGGTCCCTGCCCGGCCGTCGGTGATCGCCACCACGCGGCAGTTCCTCTCCACTCGTGCGGCCGAGTACCAGGGCTACCTGTTCAAGCAGAGCCGGAACAAGGTGTGTTTCCTGGCGCCTCCTTTTTGCCTCGGCCCTTCGTGTGCCAGCCTGGACACGCGTGGCCACGCGCACATGCACACATCTCGGCCTACATTCTCTCTCTCTCACACACACACACACACACACACACGCACGCACATCGGCTCCCCTCCCCATATCAGTCCTGGAAGAGCCGGTACTTCGTCCTGCGCCACCAGATTCTCTGGTACTTTAAGTCCGCCGACGACGTGGTCTCCGGCGCCAGCGCCATCGGGCACATCTCCCTCTCGGGTGGATCGCTGCTGGCGGTGCTGGCCCAGACCCCGGACAAGTCGACCCCCGGGGACTTGCCCGCTGGCGGTCTCCTCGGCGGCGGCCCGGGCACCGGGCTCTCCGGCCTGTCGATCGCCTCGTCGGCCGGGCCGCCCCCCTCCTCCTCCTCGTCCAAGCTCCAGCCCTTCACCTTCGAGCTTCACACGCCGCAACGCGTCTTCCACCTGGCCTCGCCGGTGTCGGATGCCGATATGCGCCAGTGGGTCCGGGCCTTGTCACTGGTGGCGAAGCGTGACGTGCGTGTGCTCGGCCGGATCTCCTCCCCCTTCGCCTCCCCCCTGCCGGTCTTCCTCTCCTCCCGCAACCACTGCAGCCACACCTTGCCCCTCGGCCCACTGACTCATCTCTCCCCTCCATGCGCACAGGCCGTCATTTCGGTCCCGCCACCGGCTGACACCGGGCCCCTGGCCAACAGCGGGGACATCATCACCCAGGGCTGGCTCATCAAGCACAAGAACGGTGCGCCCGCGACAACGCCACAAGAAACTCCCCCTCCCGCCTGCGCCCCCGACGCGCGCGTCTCCTGCCAGCTTGCTGATGCCTACCTCCGCTGCCCCCCTCCCCCCCCCCCCCTCCTCCCCCCGTCTTGGCTGCCTCCATCGTCCAGGCTTCTCCGCCACACGCTGGGTCGTCCTCAAGCCAAGCGGGCTCTACTACTACCGGTCGCCGCGTGACGAACGCCCGGTCAATGTCATCCACCTGACCCGGGCCACGGTGGTGGAGCTGGTCAATCCGGACAACGAGTCGGACTCGGAGTTTGACGACGCCCTGACGTCGCTGGCTCCGGCCGGGGCCGGCCCGCTGGGCGCCCTGCCGGCCGACATGCCAGAGCACCTGCCACACCATGGCCGGGATCTGTCATCCTCCTCGCAGCTGAGCAGCATCGGCGAGTCCGGCTCCGGGTTGGACCTGACGGCCACCTTCAATTCCACCTCCTCCGATGGGTCGGTCGGTGGCGGCTGCGAGCAGTTGGAGAACCTGTTCGTGCCGCCGACCGCCGCCGGGACCCCGGCCGCCAGCAAGACCCGCGCCAGCCCCTCGCTCATGCGCAAGGCCAGCCAGTCGTCCACCGCCTCGACGGTATCCACCTCGTCCATCAGCTCGGCCGTCAGTGCGGCCCCCTCGACGGCCGGCAGCAGCCGCAAGGGCGTCTTCGGGTCGACATTGCGCATTCGCGGCCGCGTCCCCAGCACCTCCAGCATCATGGCCGCCATGTCCGGCGGCAGTGGCAGTGGCTCCGGTGGCGGGGGCGCCGGGCCCGGGCCCATGGCTGCCTCCGGTGCCGGCATGTCGGCCCTCGGCCCCAGCCATGGGTCCTTCGCCGGAGGCCCGATGTCCGGGCCGCAGCTCTTCTCCGTGACGCACCACCCCTCGCAGGGGCTCGGGTGGTCCCCCCGGGCCGGCACCCGGCCCGGCGACCGGGTGGTCATGTTCATGCTGCGCGTGCCGCGGCCGGAGGCCGAGGTGGCCGCCGCCACCAGTGTCCTCAAGGCCGACCCCTTCAAGACGTACTTCTTCGAGGCGCTAACCGCCTCGGACGCCTTCCACTGGATGTCCCACATCCAGCTGGTGTGCAATGAGAATGCGGCGCTCAGCTCGCCGACCGAGCGCCTGGTGCACGCGTTGACGGCCATGCGCGCCGAGTACCCGAGCCTGGACATGCGGTTCTTCTATGCACGCGATGCCACCACCGCCGGGCTGTACTGCCCGCGCGGCGGGGCGGCCGGCTCCATCGACCCGGCGGCCCTGTTTGAGGCCTGGTCGGCTCGGGTGCGCGACTGCGGCTTCGAGTCGCTGGCCGAGGCCATCCCGCTGCTGGTCTTCACCCGGGAGCCCCTGTTGCACCCCCTGTCGACGCTCTTCACGCCGCGCATCCGGTCCGAGGCGCTGAAGCTCTTCCGCCTGATCCAGCGCTATGCCTCGACGCTGATCAGCCGCAAGCCCGGCCCCGGGGCCGCCGCCGCCATCCCGCCCTCCGTGGCCGGCGGGGCCTCCCTGTCGATTGCCTCCGGCGGCTCCAAGACCCCGGCCACGGTCAATGGCATTGGCTATCACATTGGCCTGGCTCGATCCATCCTGCAGCGCTGCGTGGCGGTGCCGGAGCTCCGCAGCGAGGTGTACCTGCAGTTGATCAAGCAATCCTGCAACCACCCCTACCCGAGCAGTGCCCACAACATCCAGATTTGGCACCTGATTGCCATCATGTGCGGGGCCTTCCTGCCCCAGCGGACCACCGTCCGCGACTACCTGCTGGCGCACCTGCAGCGCTGTGCCGCCAACCAGGACGCAAATGCCTCGGCCATGCTGGCAGCCTATTCCCTGCATACGGTCCAGCGGCTGATTGAGGCGGCCCGCCTGGCTGCCGAGGGGTCCGGCCGGCCGGACGAGCCGCCCCCGGCCGAGCGGGCGCTTGTCCCCAGCCGCCAGGAGATCCTGGCCGTGATCAATGTGCGTTGCCCGGCCGATGGGTGGCCTGGGGGGGGGGGTGGGCAAGGCGCGCCTATGGACCATGTTTGCTTTCATTCGGACCGGCCGCCGCCTCGGTTGCCCTTGTCGCCGACTCCCGCTGACCGACCATGCTCCTCCTCCTCCTCCTCCTCCCCCACTCCGCGTCTCCTCCCCACCTCGCCGCCGTAGGTCGAATCGCGAGTTCGCCTGAACCTCGAGCCGCTCGGGGTGTATGTGCAGCTCCAGATGCCGGTATCGGCCAAGCCCCGGTCGGTCGACGATCCGGACGTCCTGACCGAGAAGCTGGTCCACGTGGCCCTGCCGGTCAATGCCCGGGTGTCGGATCTCATCGACCGGGTGGTGCAGTCGGAGAAGCTGGAATTCTGCCTCACCTCGCGCGAGGATTACGGCCTGTTCCTGGTGTCCATGAGCACCGGGCAGCTGGAGCTCCCCCTGAGCCCGAGGACCCGCGTGGCGGACCTCATCCACAGCGTCGAGGATGACCTCCATGCCTACGGCATGAAGGGATCGCGTCTGTCCGGCCCCGGGGCCGCCGGGTCCGCTGGCAGCGGGGCCGGGTCGGTCGGGGCCGGGCCCGGGCCCGGCGCCGGTGCTCTCCACCTCCCGGCCGGTCCCGGAGTCAGGGGCTCGACCTCGGCCTCGGCCCGGCCGATGCTGCAGGACCTCGAGGCCCGGCTGGCGTCCTTCCGCCGGCCGGCTGACGGGACCTCCGGCAACACGGGCCCCCTGCCCGATGTGTACCACAGCCTCATGAATGACATGCGCGCCTGGGGCGAGGTGTCCTCCGAGCCGTTGGTCTTCGTCTTCCGGCCGAAGGTCCTCTTCCCCCTGCGGCCGCGCCTCCTGCCGAATGAGACCTTCGACACCCTGTCCGACACGGTGACCCCCCTGTTGACCGGGGTCACGCATGACTTCAATGGACCGCTCAATCCGGCCCGGCTGGAGTCCAACATCGGTGATGATGGGGTCTTCACCACGGCCACCCCCTCGGAGCTGGAGCTCCTCTATGGCTACTACACGCACCAGGTACGCAGGCGTCTCTTTGTGAGCGGCTGGCCGGAGGGAGCCGCCCCCCCCCCCCCCCCCCCCCCCCCCCCCCCCCCCCCCCCCCCCCCCCCCCCCCCCCCGCGGCCGAAGCTCCCCATTTTTCCTCCTACCCATCCTTGGCCTCCGCGCGACCGGCACGCACAGCAGGCGCCGCGCACTGGCATGTGTGCCTCTATCCACTTGCCCATGGTCTCTGACATCCGATTCGCCGTCGGGCCCGGCCGTGCTCGCGCCCTCCCCCCCCCCCTCTGATCGCCGGCCGGCAGTTCACCCATTCGATGGCGCCGGTCGCCATTGAGACGGCCACCTTCCTCGTGGCCGTCATGTCCCAGGCGAAGTGGGGTGATTATGAGGCCATCTCGGGGGCCACCCCGACCGGGGCCAGCGCCTCCGGTGGTGCCGCCTCCAACAAGAAATCTCGGTTCGTGCATGTGGCCATCCTTGTGTTGCTGCCTCCATTACCGGGGACAGGGGGAGGGGGGGGGGTGAGAGAGACACATGACACCAAGAAAAGAGCCCCAATGGCCAACCACACGCCTGTGTCTTCCCCCTTGTCCCCAGGCGCCCTCGGGCCATCTCGCCCTGGCCGCTGTGTGCTCCTGTGTGCCTTCCTTCTGACCCTTCGCCTGGCTTCCCTTTCGGAAACAGCTTCGCCTTCGATCGGTTCTTGCCCATGCGCCTGCGCGAGGAATCCACCATGAGCTCCTGGAGCAATGGCTTCCATGACAACTGGCGCCGGCTCAAGGGCCGCACCGCGCACCAATGCATGCGCATCTTCCTCGGGGCCTTCCGCCGGTGGCGCCTATGCGGGTCGTCCTTCTTCGCGGCCGAGGCCGGGGGCCAGACGGTCCTGCTGGCCGTGCGCCACGACGGCATCAGCCTCATGAACCCGGACACCCTGGCCGTGGTGGCAGACTACCAGTACGACCAGCATCTCGTGGGCTTCGGGTCGTACTTCCCCTTCGGCGCGTCGACCCCCTTCCACGGGCACGCGGGCGATCTGGCCGGCCTGGCGGCCGGCGGCCCGGGGCCTGGCCAGGACCTGCTCGGCCCCGGCGGGGCTCCCGCTTCGGCCCCCTCGCTTGGGTCCTTCGGCGCCGGCGCCGGCGGCCCGGGCATGGGTGCCAGCCTCGGCCCCGGCGGGCCCGGCTCGCTCTATGGCAGCTCTTTGTCCCTGTCGACATCGAGTCTGTCAAGCATCGGCACCAGCGGCCCGGGGGGAGCCGGCCAGGGCGCCGGCGGCCTGGCGGCCGGTGGCGACCCGATCCTCGAGGCCGACATGCTGGCTTCGGATGGCGGGGCGGCCGCGGCCGCGGCCGACTACTACCACGCCCCGGCCGGGGCGCACTTCGTGGCCGGGCTCATCGGCAGCCCGACCATGAGCCACAGGCACCTGAACTTCTTCGGCGCGGGCGTCGAGTCGGCCTCGGCCCCGGGCAGCCTGATCGCCTTCGGGCTGGGCGGCGACCCGGCCTCCGGCCCCGGGGCCGGCACCCATGTGGGCGTCTTCACGCTGCTGGTGGCCGAGTCCCGGTCGCAGGCCACCCTGCTCCAGCTCCTGGCCTCGGCCTGTCAGCCGGAGCCGACTGACACGGATCTGCTGGACCCGGCCCTTGCCCGGCAGGACAGCGGCCGGGACCTTCTCCGCGCCCAGTCCCCGGTGCACGGTGTGACGCGCCTTTACTTCCACATGCTGGCGGTGCGTGTGCCGCCGCGGCGCGCGGGGTCTTGCCTGTTTGCGCTTTTCCGCCCCCGCCCCCCGGCTCTGCTGGTGGCCATTCCCCCGCCCTTCCCCTGTGACTGACCGCTTCGTTGTATGCATGTGTGTGTGCCACTTCCTGTGGCCGATCCTGCCCCTCCCTTCTCCTCTCTCTCTCTCTCTCTCTTCCCCCCATGCGGGTGCCCCTCTCCATCGCGCTCCGGCAGCCGAACCGCCTCACCCAGCTGATGTCCTCGTACATCAATGCCCGGATGCAGCCGGCCCCGGTCGACGAGGCGACCCCTCAGCCACCCACCACCGGGGCCGGGCCGGCGCATCCCTCGCCCCCGGCGGACATGCCGGCCCCGCCGCACCCGATTGTGGCCGGCATGGCCCCGCCCTCCCTGGCAGGAAGTCCCCTTTCGCATGTGGTTGTCGCCTCGCAGATGGTTTTCTCCCGCGGGGCCGGCGACACCGGTCAGTAGGGGCCCGGCGAGGCGGAGCAGACCTCTGTCTTGGAGCCGCGCCCGTGCTCAAGCAAGCGAGCGGCCCACCCGGCGCGCATCCAGGGACAGTACCCTGTCGCCCCGCGGCCCTCGACCATGCACCAATACACGTATACATGCACGCACACATGAACACATGCATGTGCTTCTGGAGCAGGGTATATTCCCTCCTCCCAGGGGACGGGGGGGGGGGCCTGGGGCGGCTGCATGCACGCGCGCGCGCGCGCGCACACAGACATACATGCACACATGTGTATGTGCATGGAACCCCGGGCCCGCGAGCCAAGGGCCTCTCCTAGTCCAGGTCGGCAAACTGGTCGAGAGAGGGGGTCAGGGCCAGGCGTCAGAAAGAGGAGCCGTGAAGTGGCGACAAGCGAAGCAGGGAGGCCGGCGTGGGGAGAATGGCCCAGCAAAAAGCGCACCAGGTCGCCCTCCGGATCGTCGGCCATGGCCGAGTGGCCGAAGGCAGCCGACCCAACGCCCCCCCCATCCAAGGAGGACAGGGACGCCTGGCTGGGCAGCGGCTGGGAGGGGAAGGAATGGAAGCCAGCTTGTAGGGTGGCCGGGAGGGCCGCCAGCCCGGTGCCGGGGGCCTGGATCTCCGGCGCAAACTCCATCAGGTCCTGGCCATCATCCGGGTCGTGGGCCACCGGGCCGAGGGGCCCCGGGGCTCGGAGCGCTGCCAGCGACCCGCGCGCCTGCGCCGCCGCCAGCGCCGAGTCATAAATGTCGTGGCTCCGCTCGCGCAGAGACAATGCCCTCAAGGCCAGCCAGGCATCCGCCTCGCCGGGGAGCTCGGCTGCCCGGCCACCACGATCGGCCCCGGCGCCCAGCCACTCGACCAGCTCGGCACATGCGGCCTGCAGGAGTGGCACCGCGCCGCCCGCGCCAGCCACGCCGGCCATGCTGCCGCCGCTGGCGCTGGCCCCGGCCCCGGCCCCGGGTGCCGGCTGGAAGCCATGCCGAGGCAGGGCCGCCAGCAGGGCCACCGGCCCGGTGGCCAGAAGGAATTTGTCCAGCACCGCCAGCTCCGGCCGCGAGGACATGATCGACCGGACCCGAGCCTCGGTGTCCTGGCTGCGGAAGCCAGTCGAGAGGGCCGCCGGGCGCTTGGCCCCGGCCGCAACCGGCCCATCCTCCAATCCGGCTTCCCCCAGGGCAGGACGCTTGCGCAGGGCAAACACCCCGGCCAGCGGATCGGCCTTTGGCCCGGACCCGGGCTCCGGCAGGATCGGCCCCAGAACCGTCGACAGGGGAGGCAGCCAGGCAGTTGCCTCGGGAACCAACAGGCACAGGGCCAAGTGCCGCTGCAGGGCGTAGTTCGGGCTCCGGAACAGCGGCAATTCCCGGCCCGCGGAGCCGGGCACATCGGCCGCCCGGGGAACTGCCCCCGGGTCGAGCTCCGTCTTGAGGGGAATCGCGCCAGCCTCGGCGGCCAGATGCTGGTCGATGAGGGCGTCCATGGCGGCATCGGCCGCCGGATTGGCCGCCTGGACCGCCCGTCGGAGCCGGCCAGACCCCGGCACCGCCGAATGCAACACCTCCCCGGCAAAGGGCAGACGCGTCAGCAGGAGGACCGGCCGATCGGTGCCCGGCTGGGTCCGTGCCAGCATCAATTGTGGCGCTGCGCCGCTGACGCGCACATACCGGAGCAGGGCAATGCGCCCGGTCAGGCGCATGTGCCCAACGAGGTGGGCCAGCGCCAGGGCATTGGCCGGGGCCGTGCCGCGCGGGCACGCGCCCGCGCCAGGCCCCCCCGGGGTGGTGGCCTCCGCCGGCGCGCCCACAGCCACCATCCAGTAGGTGGGTCCAGCGTGCAGGGCAAAAGCCGGGGGCAAGCTACGGGCCTCAAAGAAGCAGATCAGCTGCAGGGACCGCTCCGCCTCGGCCGGGCAGCCAGCCCCAGCGGCGGCGATCAGCTCATCGGCTCGGGTGACGGCAATGCGCTGCTTCCCATAGCGGTACGTTCGGGCCAGGTGCTCCGCCGGGACGATGGCCGGGTCCTGATCGGCTGGATCGCCGGTGGCCAGGCCGCCGAGAGTGCGCTCGGCCGCACGCACCGGCACCCGGTCCAGCACCAACGGCAGCAGGCGGTACTGACCGGCATCGCTGCCGTTGGGCCCTGGCCCGGCAGCGGCCCCGGCCGCCGGGGGCAGCAGAAACGCCAGCTTGTAGGTGAGCGTGCGCGGGGTGCCAACTCGAGCGAAAACCGCCACCTCTAGCTCTAGCCCGGCCGGATGGTGGTCCTCCGTGTGGAAGGCATTCCGGCTGGAGGCCGCACAGGCCGGCGAGCCGATTATCAGCGGCCCCTTGAACACGGGGCGCGGGCTGGGCGCCGGCGGCAGCAAGGTCGTCACCGTCGGCAAGGCCAGCTTCAGGGTGGTGGAGATGGGCGAAATGATGTGCGGCACGCCAGATCCGATGTCGCTACGTTGCGCCGCGACGCATGTGCAGATGTGCGGACGTGTGAATATACAGGTGGACAAATGTACAGAGGTGTGAGTGTACGAATGTACGGATACACACACACACACACACACACACACATGCATAGGTGTGTGGATGTGCAGAGATGCATGCGCGGGCAGTGAAAGAAAGCCCTCTCGAGAGTGCAACCAGGAGAGGGGGAGAAAGAGACAACGGCAAAGAGACGCACAGCACCTCCAACACGATGTTGTCTTCGTCTAGCCGCTGGAATATGTGCCGGATGGCTGGCTCAGCCTCCGGCGCAAGTGACGGATCCTCACACTCCCCCGACAGGATCCCATCCCCGGGGATGCACCCGTAGAAGGGCATAACCAGCACGATGCGCTTGAAGTGGAAGGTCACCCGGCGGTTGCTCAGCCGATAGGCAAAGAAGAGCTCCCGGGCGAAAGCCAGCGCCGCCAGCCAGTCCACCGGCCGGAAGGGCGACAACCCGTCGGCCATGTCCGGCGGCCCCGCCGGCAGCGCTTGGCCATAGCGATGTACTCGCTCGAGCCCGGGACGCGCGCTCGGCTGGAGAGGCACCAGCACGCATGGGGCCTGCTGCGTGGGGTCGGCCCCGGCTCCGGCATCCTGCAGATCGGGGAAATCGTCGATCAAGCGCGGCGGGACCCCGTCAGCGGATACAACACCGGCGCACTCGGACCGCCGACCGTCAATGGCCCGCTGGGCCAGGAACAATCGCACAAAGCTGAGCGCCCGTTCGCGCTGCTCTCGCGGCCCGGCGCCGCCACGCGCGACAACAAAGATGGTAGCCGTCTTCCGTATGGGCAAAGTGATGGTGGAGGACGAGGCGGGG